TGTCTGGGGGATGACTGGGGGCGGGGAGGGTCCGGGGGATGTCCGGGGGGATCCAGGGGGTGTCTGGGGGGGTCCGGGGGGTGTATGGGGGGTGAAAGAGTTCAGGAGGGGTGCTTGGGGGGCTACTGGGGGCTGGGCTTCTAGGAAGGTAGGTAGGAGGGTCTGGGGTAGGGCCTGGGTAGGTAGGTCTGGAGTAGGAAGGGCATACTGGGTCTGAAGATTAGGGAGGGCATAGAGGGGTTGGGAGATGGCGTAAGGTTGGGAGACAGATAGAGGTTGAGAGGTTGGGAGGGGGATGGATAGAGGGGGTGGGGGGGACCTCCCACCTCCCTCGCAAGGGTGGGGGGTCACATGGAAGGAGAGGGGATGAGGAGGGGTGAGGGCAGGGTAGGCTTTGGGTGTTGAGGGGATGAGGTCTGGGTGGGTTCTTGGGGTTGAGGGGATGAGGTCTGGATGGGATTTGGGGGTTGAGGAGATGAGAGCTGGGTGGGTTTTGGGGGTTGAGGGGACGAGGGCTGGACGGGTTTTGGGGGTTGAGGTGATGAGGGGGTCCTTGGAATGTGGGATGAATTTGACTCCAGTGGGGTCAGAGGGGTCAAGGGATGTGCTGGGGAGATAAGCAGGGGCGGCTGATTTGGGAAAGGGGTGACCTGAGAAGCACGTGTGAGCTGGTTAGCATGGGGTGGATTAGCACTGGGGTGTGTAGCTGCGCTCAAATGGGAAGAGTCGTATTGTTGTTTGCTTGCTCTGTGGGCAATCTGTTCCTCCTTCGTCATGAATTTGTCAATAAATACGTTGTAGTAATTTTCGCTACCTCTGAGTAGGTGTTTGTGATGCAGTATGTAATCCACTGCCTCTTCGTTAGTGAACTGTACCAGGACAGGTCGTTTCCTGTTACAGTTGTATGGTCCAATGCGTCGGTGGACTTGCACCTCATTCCCTGCCATCTGGGCTCTCATGTCTCTCAAGATCCCCTGTAGTTCCAAATCCTCAATCTCCATCCTTTCCTGCCTCGATGGTGCCCTGGCTTCAAGTAATCCATGGATTATGATTGTCCTCTTTCTCAGTTCAGGGTCATGCTGGTGGCCCTCTCCCTGGCTGACCCCCACCCCTCCTACACCCGCTACTCCACCTACTACTACTACTTCCCCTTCCCCTGCCAAGCTTCCCTTATTCCTGCCAAATTCATTAGTAAGCCTAGATATTTCTCCTTGCCATTCTACCCTGCTCTTCCTGATTTCCTCTTGAATATAATCCATAAACTCTTGTTTGAGTTTTTGAACCTCGCCCTGTATCTTATTAAAGACTTCACTTTTAATCCCCTGGATTAGATCACCTATCCAAACATCCCTCTTCTCTACAAATTTCCCAATCATCTTCTCCACAAACCTATCTTCTTCCTCAATCATAATACTGCTGGACCTAGACGCCCTTCCTGACCTAGTCATTGCTATAATGCAACCTTACCCACAGGGGTTCCAAGTATCTTACCGTCCTGCTAACACAATAGGTGAGTGAATCTCCAAGCGTCGTCCCCGTGGTGGTAGGAGGGTTGCTGCCGGGGTGAGGTCACGCGGTCAGAGGTCGGTGAGGTCTGCTCCACACTACACACTGCCACAATACTACACTATTTTGAATTACGCTATTTAAACTGTTTTTCTTCACTACTTTATGGCTCTGGCCAAAACTCAAGGTTTTTTCATTCACTTGTACACACTTTTTCACTTCGAAGCTGCCTGATTACCCCTCCCACTCCACTAGTGAGACAGGAGCTCCCAACCCACGTCCACCCAACACGATGGTCACAAGACCATCGTGTGTGTGTGTGTGTGTGTGTGTGTGTGTGTGTGTGTGTGTGTGTGTGTGTGTGTGTGTGTGTGTGTGTGTGTGTGTGTGTGTGTGTGTGTGCCAATGTATTCACGCGTGTGCACATAAAAGCCCCGTCTAACCCCCACAAACTCCATCACGGAGCAGTGGGGGAGAGTTAGACAACATTGCACATGACATGGGAATCGTAAATTTGTAAACAAACACAGAATTGCGTATTTTAAAAATTCTGTGTCCTCTTAATATTCATAGTTTTGGTTGTGCCTGATCAAAAGGCTGTTTGGGGCCCCAGTGCACGTCCACCTGCCATAAAGATGGTTGCAGTTCTGCAACCATCGAAATCGCGATAGATCTGCTGGTTTTATCCTACTGTACCTGTGATCGCTGGTGTAGTGGTCAAAGTATCGGTGCTGGGGGAAGACCCCTGGAGGCCTAGGTTCGAATCTTTTGAAGGGGGGTCATGTAGTTATTGTGATAACAGTGCATAGGGACCATTGAAACTTAGCTCATATATATATATATATATATATATATATATATATATATATATATATATATATATATATATATATATATATATATATATATATATATATTCAGAAGCTTCAAAAGATTGTCACTTGCTTAGCTAACCGAACTATGGTGTTTAGTTTCTGAACTCATTATGTGCCTCTGTAACCCTTTCCACGTCCGCCCACTGGATGGGTATGGAGTGCATAATAAATAAATTGAAAAAAAAAATTAATCTGAAAATGATTTGTAAATATGTTGAGATCATGTCTCCTTTGTCGTCGTCTTTCTCCTAGTGTGCTGAGGAGGAGTTCTTTTTAGCTGTCCTCGTAACTCAGACTTTGTTTCTGGAAATATATCCAAAGGTAATTTCTCTCTACCTACATTCATTTCTGATACCTGCATTCATTTTAGTGTTCATCAACAAGGGTCTGCAATTTTTTACCCTGTCTCATTCCAATGTCTCTCTCAACCTGGCTCTCTGTCTCTTATCTGGTTGGTACTCTCATCCAGATCAGTGCTCTTGGTATTTGTGTTTACTCGCCTAATACTCACATTCTTGTGATTGCCGGGGTTGAGCTTAGGTTCTCTGATCGCGCCTCTCTGCCGTCAACTGGTGTACAGGTTCCTGAGCCTACTGGACTCTATCATATCTACGTTTGAAGTTGTGTATGGAGTCTTCCTCCTCCACATACTTTCCTAATTCATTCCATATATTAGATAATAGTAATCTCTAGCTAATCTCTAGTGGCCATTTGTTGAACTATTCCTTCAGTTTGTCCAGGTTATCATAGAACCTTACTAACTTCGTCTTGACTTAAACTTACTCACAATTTTAGCACCATTAGCAAACATATCAGAAACTAGTTAGGAACGAGTACAGAACCCTGTGAGACTCTGCTGGTGACATTTCGCCACTCGGAAGTCTCCTACCTCACAGTAACTCGCCGTTTTTTATTACGTAAACACACTCAAACTCCCCAGAGCATTTTGTCACTCTTGCGAGTTTATCCAATTTATGAACCAGTCATTTAAGGGATACGGAGTCAAAGGCTTTTCTGACAGTCCAAGAAAAAGCAGTTTGCCCACTCTTTGTTGCCAAATTGTTGTCGCCTTGTCATTAAATTCTATTAAACTTGTGCAGCATGATTAGTCATCGCAGAACCCCTTTTGGAGGTGTGTTACAAGGCCTCTTTTCTACAAATGTGCTTCGGGCTCTCTTCTCATATTTTGTTTTCATCGCTTTGCATGGTACACAAGTTAGGGACAACCGGCTTTTAGTTCAATATCTCCTACCTGTCACCCTATTTTTTATATATTGAGTATACGGAAGAGGTCTTCCAATTTTCTGGTACGTCACCTGTTTCCATTGGCCAATTATACACCGTAGAGCGGCAGGTATAGTGTTTCTGCACCCTCTTTCAGTATCTATGGTGATATTCTGTCAGGTCCAACAGCCAGCTCCAGCAAGTGATTCTTAACCTCATCTCTGGTAAATATATATTTTATATCTTGTTTCTTGGTTTATTGCCATTTATCTTAATCTACAGACTTTTTCCTGTAAAGTGAAGACCTTCTGTGTTCGCGTGTATGCCTGTAGGTCCAGTCCTATGTCTGTGCAACACCTTTTACCATATTCAGAGTTAAAGCACGAAGTGAAATAACAATTTACGGTGAATTCGTATGGAAATCTGTATGTTAACCTAAAAGCAGATACATACATTAAATAAATCTTTGATGTAATGACTATGGCGTGTTCCTTTTGCATTCAGTCTGTTCCTACTGCCTTCAATTATTTCATTCTATGTTCAGCAACTTCTTTCTGCATTTAATAGTCCGTGTCTATGTTCAATAGTTCCGAGCAGCGTTCAGGAGTTTAGTGCCAAGGTCACTCCTCCCACGGCAGGATCAATAGTTCTGGGCCGCGTTTAATAGTTCCAGATCGTAAATTAGAGTGTGGATACTAGAGGGGGCGAGAGCGTTCAGAATGTGACGATAGAGTTATTGTTTATTCTAAATATTTACAGAGGTGATGGACCGCCATATCTCTGGATTTGCCATTACGTATAAAACCCAGCGACCTAACCTAACCCAAAATTCGCGAACGCAAGCAAACCCACCTAGTGCAACCCGTTCTCGCAAATTTAATAAGTCAATATTTACTTATTAGTTGCGTGCATAGGTGACATACTTAACATAATAGTTTCCCTTGAAAAGCTTCATACAAAACACCGACCTTACCTAACCGACTTAGTATGTTAAAATAAGCATCTTATAGCTTCGTAATTACAATTGTTACTTAGCCTATTATAGGTATAGGTTAAGAACGCTAAGAATGGTGACGAATATGACAGCGACCTTCAAAATAAGAGCGATAGGGAGGATGGTGATGGCCTAGATAAAGTCGAAGGAAAGTATAGCGATGATAATGACTATGTTATCAGTAGAGATGATGATGATGATGATGATGATGATAGCGATAATGATGATATCTGGAGTGTTGAGAGTTGATGGTGGTTGAAGAGTTGTGAGTTACACGCTGTAATAAGGGTGAAAAGTTCTTGCAAACGTTGGTGATTTTCGACGACCCAGTCACGCTGCTTCCAGCAACAGTATTGACACTGGGAGGTAGACTGTTTGCTCAACAGGAACAACAGGGCGTTTCATTGAAATAAACGACGCTCAACGTCGCCATGAAGATAAGAGGTCTGTGGCTCCACTTTACCGCTAAACGATGCGTTATACGTTGCTTCATCACCGTCGTTATTCACGCCTTGTTCATCACCGTTGTTATACATGCCTAGTTCATCACCGTCGTTAATCACGCCTTGTTCATCACCGTCGTTATTCACGCCTTGTTCATCACCGTTGTTATACATGCCTTGTTCATCACCGTCGTTAATCACGCCTTGTTCATCACCGTTGTTATTCACGCCTTGTTCATCACCGTCGTTATTCACGCCTTGTTCATCACCGTTGTTATTCACGCCTTGTTCATCACCGTTGTTATTCACGCCTTGTTCATCACCGTCGTTATTCACGCCTTGTTCATCACCGTTGTTATTCACGCCTTGTTCATCACTGTCGTTATACATGCCTTGTTCATCATCACCGTTATACACGCCTTGTTCATCACCGTCGTTATTCACGCCTTGTTCATCACCGTTGTTATACATGCCTTATTCATCACTGTCGTTATACATGCCTTGTTCATCACCGTCGTTATACATGACTTGTTCATCACCGTCGTTATACATGTTCACCTCGTCACTTTATACATATCTACTAAAAATAATCAAAATAAATCACGAGGAAGATTAAAACAGAGGACGATAGCAAGAGACTAAAAGACGAGTGGGACAAACTGAAGAAATTATGCAACAAATGACTACTAGAGTTTAAGTTCAGTAAATGTATTGTAATGAAACTAGGTAGATGGAGCAGGAGGCTGGACACGAGGTACCCAATGGGAGATCCAATCCTTTATTAAACGGACAAAGACAAGACTCTTGGAGTGAACATCACACCGAACCTGTCTCCTGAAGCCCACATCAAATGGATATCATCATATGCAAGGCTGGCTAACATCAGAACTACCGTTAGAACTTTGTGTGAGGTCCAAGCCTGATGCATGCGGCTCCAGCGCGGAGTACATATCTAGTCAAGCATAAAACGAAGTTGGAGAAGGTTCAAAGGTATGCCACCAGACTAGTCCCAGAACTATGGGGACAGATCGCCATAGTTCTGATGCCCACACTGAAGTAAAGAAAAGTTTAAAAATAAATTACGATAGTGTTCAATATTTTTATATTGGAATGACTACAGCGTTTCTCATGTGGCAGAAAGACGGAAGAGTTAGGGAAGATGTTGTTATTATTATATACAAAATTCTGAAAGGAATATGTAGGTTAAAGGCAGACTATTTAGCACTGGTGATACACGAACAAGGGGAACATAAGTGGGAACTGAGTACTCAAATGAGACGCAGTGACATTAGAAAGAATGTTTTCAGTGTCAGGGTAGTTAAGAAATGGAATGCATTAGGCAGTGATGTGGTGAACTCTTGATTCCATTCGCAGTTTCAAAGGTAGATATGAAAGAGCCCAACAGGCTCAGGAAGCTGTGCACCAGATGATTGACGGTTGAGAGGCGGGACCAAAGATCCGAAGCTCAACCCCCGCAAGCACACATGGGCAACCCATCCTCCTGAAACGATAATACTTGTAATATACTTGTAATAAGTTATACTTGTAACAAGTTATACTTGTAATAACTATTTGGTTGTAGGTACAAATATGTAGTGATGAACACAAGTACACCCATTTTGTACTATTAATTTTAGAGACGGGAAAAAAAGAATACATACAACATAACTACTGTAACACCACATACAAATTCAGAGAGAAGTGAAGAAGAAATGTTATAATGACGTAGCAGGACACGCCAAGGAACAGCCTGTACTGCTCAATACACACATCACACCATTTTTTCAGTGTCAGAGTAGTTAATAAATGGAATGCACTAGGAAGTGATGTGGTGGAGGCTGACTCCATACACAGTTTCAAATGTAGATATGATAGAGCCCAGTAGGCTCAGGAATCTGTACACCAGTTGATTGACAGTTGAGAGGCGGGACCAAAGAGCCAAAGCTCAACCCCCCGCAAGCACAATTAGGTGAGTACATCAGGAGGTAATTGTTTCAGGGTTGAAGGATAATTTGGCTTAGAATTAAGAGTAGGCGATGAGTCACAATAACGTGGCTGAAGTATGTTGACCAGACTACACACTAGAAATGGAAGGGACGACGACGTTTCGGTCCGTCCTGGACCATTCTCAAGTCGAAACGTCGTCGTCCCTTCCATTTCTAGTGTGTGGTCTGGTCAACAATTAAGAGTACTCTAAGAAAGCCTCTATGGCACCTTCAAGCTGGAACCTGATGTGCCTCTTTAGATCTCGAAGAGATTAGACAGCCCAAGATGAAAGACTTATAGAACTGAAAAGACACCACGAGACGGCTAGAAATATTTGATGTGTGGAAAGCTTCAGGATAACACAGGATCTTGAAAATAGATGCCAAAACCAGCAGGAGAAGCTTAGTACAGACCCCTTGAATGCTTCTCTTGGAATGTAGGAGTTACGACAGACTTGGCAATTGGACTATTTGTCACCCATAAATTAGAACCACTGACCCAGATGAGACTTGTAGGCACTTGGAACACTTTAATTTAGTGCCCCAGACTCCATCTTTGATTCAAACGCGAGAGAGACGGACTTTTGTTTTTCATTGGTTTTCAGATGCCCCAAAACGGATCAATGTACTGGAGTCTGCTTCCCGCATAAGAGACATTACAGGGATAATATCTACAACATTTCCTCAACTAGCTAACGTTTCGATAGCCTTTAGGAACACGGAAAAGGGAATCTTCCAAACCCTTAAGTGCATCCTGTGTAAAACCCGTCTTTTAGTATGCTGCCGTCACGGAATCCATACTTGAGAAAACATTAAAAAAATATATAGAAAAGACCCTAAGAAATAGAGCATAAACATTCGCTGCCGAACTGAAGGAACTCGCCAGCAAGTAGATACTGAGAGACTCGAACCTCCCACACTGAAGAAAAGAAGAATTTAAAAATAAATTATGAGTGTTCAATATTTTTATATTGGAATGACCAGGTAGACTAAACCAACGTTCACCGAAGAAAATTAAATACAAACCTGTGACACAAACGAGCCACAGAAACACCAGAAGATGCTTCAGCGTGAAATTGCTGTATGTTAAACGTAAATACAATAGAAAAACTGTAGAAATAAAATGGTGCACTGCACATAGTAATTGTTAGCTAGACAGGGCTCGGGAGCTTGCAGACCCTCTGCAACAACACTATTTGGTGAACACACACACACACACACACACACACACACACACACACACACACACACACACACACACACAAACACCCCATCGTCTTTGCATATAATATCATCGTGTGAAACCCTCGTCGGCATTATCCAGGCTCCCAGCATCTTCATCTCCAGCGCATCTGCATCGAGAAACGAAAACACCTGGAGCCGCTACAGGTGGGAATTCCTCTCGGGTGAGATATAAAGATTATATATACATCTTTATCGCTCTATTCGTCTGGTTGTGTTGATGTAATTTTGATCGAGGGCAGGATGATATTGTGTGAGGGGGGGGGGGAAGAGACAACAGGGGGGGGGGGAGAGAGAGAGGAGAGAGAGAATGCTGCCAACCAGTAGCTTATCCTAATCCCATTATATTTTTTTTCGTGATATTAAAGCAGTATTATTAATAACTAATCATGGAAACAATTAAATTCTCCTTGACCGTATTTTATGTCCGATGCATTTTGGACCAGGAAATGCATAATATTCAGTAGGGAGAGCGAAAGTTACTGAGGGGACCGATGAGCATCGTCCGTGTGACACCGACTGGGTCTATGGCCACAAGAAGATCCTCTTTACAGCTTACCCGTGGCACGGCCCAGTGATGATCTGTCGGCTTTAGTCCGGTTCCTAAATTGACCATCAACTCTGGCTGGAGATTGAGGGCAGGATTGATCTGCCCCTGCAGGTGGTATTTGGGGACTATCCTCCCCCTCCTCCCTCCCATCCCCTAATCCCCACTTTACCCTCATTCCCCTTCCCCTCCCCCTCCCCTCCTATCCTTCTCTCTCTTCCCTTCCTCTCTACCCTCCACTCCCTGTCTTCCTCTCACCTATCCCCCCTCCTCTCACCTTCCCACCAACTGTTCGAGCCTCCACTGACGCACGAATGGAGGGCGACTAATGGTCCGAGGTGTTAATCCCGAACACTGACTGGACCCAATTTAGGATTTTGGACGTCCACCTACGAGGCTGAACGGTGAGTCTGTCTGCTTACAGTCTGCTGTGATTTAGAGGATGAGGTGCGACATTTACGTGTCGAATGCATTCAGGTTAATACATATTTGTGAGAGGAAAGTCGAATTCTTCTGGGAAATTACTCTTATTTAGTTTGACACATATTACAAATTGTATTAGAAAACTTTCAATACCCCAGTCGTTTTATATTCTAGATATTGCTTTTGTAATTCCTGAATAACCCATGGCATTCCTGGTTTTTTTTTGTGTGATTATGCTTTGAAGGTGTTCATTTTGGCCTCAAGAAGCTTTTGTTCACAACCAAGAGACCACCATCTATAGGGGGTGGGGGATGAAGTTGGGAGGTAGTGCTTCCCTCTTGAGTGTTGAGCTGCTGATAAAAGCTCTCTCTAAAAAAATGGTAGGTCTACCAGCCTGTCCTCACACTTAACTCCCAGTCGTTACACAAGGGTTGTAACAGTGAAATCAGGAGTACAGAAACAATAACGTTTAATCCAACTATAAAACATTGGACCCGATTGGTAAGGTGGGTTGCTTAAATTTCATTCTGGTTAGCCAAAGTCACTTGAAACTAGACACTTGTCGAAGCATGCCAGATTTACACGCTTCAAGACTTAGCCTACCACTTATATAATCGATATTGTGATACTGTATTAGATTAAGATAATTTTCTAACAAGGGATGAGTTACAATCACAATACAACTTACACCTTGTCTTAAATACTGCTTAACACATAGAATATTGGTACTTACTGCATAAGTCTGCAGTGGGCTAATAGGTCTGTCATTCCAATGTTCTTTTGACGACTGGAACAGTATGCTGGATGTTCCAGCCGGCTAACACTCACGTAATACCATTAACACCAAGACGGAACATCCAGCATGCTTCCCCTGTGACCATATGAATGGGAAGTAAAGGTGATGCAGTGGGCCTTCGTGTTCCATGCGACACCTTGCTTCCCATCATTCAAGGTTATATATATATATATATATATATATATATATATATATATATATATATATATATATATATATATAATATACGTTTGTGCAAGCTAAATTGTGTTTACTTCTATTTTGCCTTTTAAAATGTTGACAAGGGTGAACGAAACGTACCTCATTGTTGCAGGCTATAATAAAACAGTAAAATGTACTTAGAAATAATTGTTCAACTTCCTTCTCAAGTGAAGAACTCAAGAAATAAAGCGATTATTCGTGTTAGAATAATTTATATCACCCTTTCTTTCATATTTAATATATATATATATATATATATATATATATATATATATAT